AGATGCTGTAATCCTTCAGCCACACCATGATGTCTACAGTAGCTTAAAAAGTGAGTATTGCAAGGATATTCACTATGCATATCAGATCAGTAGACTTGATAGCTAGCCTTTCAGTGATATGCAATTAGTATGTTACAACTATTAGTGTGTCGCTGATCTAGTTAACTCAGCCTTCGGATTGTTTCTATGGGCAGGTCAGTAGATCCAACTGGTAAAGAGTAGTAGATAAACCAAAACCCAATTCAAACTAGTGCAGATTCAGAGTACATCTCATCATTTTTGAAAGTATATATATATATTTGTAAGTTTTATTGTCCAGTTAAGTTGTGGTTTCAATAGACTAGTCTGTATTATTTTTGTGAAGTGTAAATATTTTAATTTGTAGCTCCTCAGTGTAAAGATTTTATTTATTCTTCAATTTATTTTACAGTTGTATTGTACTTAAAAAAAAAGTAAGAAAAAGTTGGTCAACCAATTCAGTGGTTCCGTGTAACACCTTAAATCGGTCGACTGTGTGTTCTACTGGTCTAGGATGTTTCAAAACATAATATTCATCATGTTGAGAACTGTAGTAATTTAAGGACTAAGGATTTAATGACATAATTGTTTTGAAATTAATATAAAACTTTAATCCATGTATTTATCTCAAAACAAGTCGATCCAATATTCGATCTCAATAAATACATATGAATTTGGTTTGAATCTAATTCACATATTCATATCATGAATATCTATCAAATTTCATACCAATCTTATTTCATTATTGTTCCCACAATAATAATCGATTAGGGATATTTAGAATAATTAACATTATTATTCAAGGATATTATAATAAATTTGAACACAAATGATAATAATAAAATCCAATAATCAAATTATCATGTTCATACAATATGCCTAGGGCACTATGCTAACAGGATCCGGAGAAATTGGACGGAGTTGTGTCATTACTTCGAGGCCAAGCTCGTATATGGTGGACCAAACAAGTTACTTGATAGTTCTTCCTGGAATAATTTAAGAATAAATATGTCAAGGATTAGTTTATCAGGAAAATGAAGCATGAATATTTCAATTTAAAGCAAGGCAACCAGACAAACTATTAGTATGAGTGTGAGTTTAATAAATTGACCCGGTTTACTGCAGAATTGATTCATAGTGAAAAGGACCACTGTGAACGGTTTATTGAAGGCTCACGTTCGAGACTAAAAACAATTATGGTGGCATTAAATTTGCCCACATCCTAGGAGATGGTAAACACAACCAAAGCTCTGGAAAAAGACTAGAATGAAAAAATCACATAATAGAAAGTTCAGATAGCTAAAAGATTGTGAACATCTTCAGTTTCATTACAATCCAAATGAGGTAGAGGTTTTAGTCCCCGATATCAGAATAGATATGAGTTTGATGCATCTGGTCGTAAAGGATCTAATGTCATAAGATCTAAACAATCTCAGACGTTTGCAGCTGATACAAGCATATCATCTCAATCTGAGTTTTGATTATGTGAGACTTGTGGTAGATCACATTTAGGAATGTGTCGATTTGTCTTTGTAGCATGCTTTCGATGTGGAGAGACTAGTCATTTTAGACAAGATTGTCCTATGTCAACTAGAGGGCCAGTTCAAACTGAGAGATTTATAGCAGGATCAAGAGAGGCAGAGTCAGAGGTTAATTGAAACGATCATCAAATCTTCTTTACATCCTGAAATAAGTCCCTCAGCTAAAGTTTATAACATCAGGACTGATGAGAATCGAGATGATCTAGAGATTGTTGCAGGTACATTCTATCTTTATGATGAACCAGTAGTTGTTTTAATTGATCTCGGTTCTATACACTAGTATATTAGTACAAATTTGATTAGAGAAAGAGGTATGCCTTTAGATCCATCTCAAGTGATATAGTTTCGAAAAACCCTTTGGGTTAGAGCGCAAGGGTAAATCGAATATGTAGAAATTGTACGATAAAAGTTCAAGGCATTGAGTTTCTAACAAACTTGATGGAACAATATTTCGAGGAGTTTAGAATAATTTTGGGCATGGATTGGCTATCTCTATATCATGGCATAGTATATTGTCGCTTGAAGCGATTAGTTTTGAAGGATCCAGAAGTTTATGAAATTATAGTGATCAGTGAAAGATTAAATCTGTTGTCTAACGTGATATCAAAGGTATCTTCCAAGAAATTATTGCTACAAGGATGCCAAGATTTCTTGGCTAATATGGTGGATACAATAGTTTCATAGGTTAATATGGAAGATATTCCAACTTTCTAAGAGTATCTGGATGTGTTTCCAAATGAGTTACCGAGATTGCCTCCAGATCGAGATGTAAAATTTAAGATTAAGGTATTTTCGGGCACTGCACCTATTTCCATGGCCCCATATCATATGATGCTGATCGAGCTTAGAGAATTAAAGGTATAATTGTAGGAGTTGTTGGATCAGGGTTTTATTAGGTCAAGTGTGTCACCTTAGGGCACACCAGTGCTATTTGTGAAAAAAGATGGATTTATACGATTATGCATAGATTATCTTCAGCTGAATAAGATGAAGTGAAAAATAAGTATCATCTTTCAAGGATTAATGACCTCTTTGATCAGTTAAAAAATGCATCAGTGTTTTTTAAGATCGATCTTTAATCTTTTTATCATCAGTTAAAGATCAAAGAGGAAGATATTCCTAAAACGACTTTTAGAACTTGATACGACCATTATGAGTTATGGTGATGCTGTTTGGATTGATAAAAGCCCCTGTATCATTTATGTACCAGATGAATAGGGTATTCCAGCTGTACCTTGACAAATTTGTGATGGTATTTACATATGATATCTTGGTCTATTCCAAGACAAAGGAATATCATGATAAACATCTTCGTATTGTACTTCAGACGCTTTGGGATAAAAAGTTATATGCTAAGCTGTCAAAATGCGAATTCTGGTTGTCTAAAGTTGCTTTTCTTGGTCATGTGATTTTCGCAGAAGGGATATCCCAAAAAAGTTCAGGTTATAGTACAGTGGAAAACTCCCAAGAATATTTTTGCAGTTTGAAGTTTCTTAGGACTTACTCGATATAATTGAAAGTTCGTGAAGAATTTCTAGATGATTGCTTCCCCTCTAACCAAGATGCTAAGGAAATGTGTATCATTTACCTTGACTGACAAGTGTTAAGAAATTTTTGAGACGTTAAAGAAGATCTTGACAGAAGCTCCGGTGCTAGTTCAACCAGAATCTGGAAAAGATTATTTGATCTATAGTGACACATCTCATAATGGGTTGGGATGGATATTGATGCAAGAAGGAAAAGTGGTGGTTTATGCTTCGGGACAACTCAAGACGCATGAGAGGAATTATCCTACTCATGATCTAGAGTTGGCAGTGGTAATATTTGCTTTAAAGATTTGGCGACACTACTTATATAGTGAGTGATGCTACATATTCGTTTATCATTTTTATTTCGCTTTAGTACATAAACTTTATTTTTTTTCAAACCATTAACTACAATGTTGATGTGGCATGACATGTCAATTATTTTTTTTTCATATCACCTTTATATTTTTCCGTCGGTATTTTTTAATTAATTGTATCCAACCAATTAAATGGTGACATGTGTCACCAACTATGGAGATAAAATAAATGATAGTATTCTTGCTCTTAGTATGAACTCAAAAAAGGCCTCTTACATGAAATGTATAGCACTTAACCATTGAGTTAAACTAGTCATTTAAGCTAATTTCACCATATTTTTATTTAACTTATATAATAGTATCATCACAAAATGAATATTTTTGGATGATTATAAAATTCAAATGTGACACTTTGAATCAATGTTTGAAAGCTTAATCATTCAATTATAATGCAAATCTATTTTTATTATGTCAAACTTAATACTTGCTTATATCATTATTAAATTTAAGAATTTACTTTATTTGGAAATAAAAAATAATTAAATAATTAATTTATATATTTAAAATTATATTAAATTATTCTAAAAAGTATATTTATAATATGAAATTATTTAAAATATTTATTTAATTTTAAAATCATATATTTACTTATTTGAAATAATATTAATTCTTTATTTTAAATGATATTATTTTAAATTATCTATTTAATTTTAAATAATATTGTACAGAACAAAAGTGATAATTGGATACTAAATTTATAATTTATCATAAATTTAAAATTAAATAGATAATTTAAATTAATAATTAATTTGATTATAAAAATTAAATAAATATTTTTATAATATTATAAATATAATTTTATAATTATTTCATATAATTTTATAAAAATATAATTATTTTTAATTTTTAATTAAAGTGAAATTATTTTCTTTTAGTTTAATAACGAATATATATATTTTATTAAAATTAGAAATTAATATATATATATATATATAAGTATCATTGAATACTAATATAAAATTATTAATTAGGTTAAAAAATTAATTCAATCAATTTTAAAATTATTAATTAGGTTAAAAATTTATTATTATTATTATTATTGTTATTATTATTATTTCTTTTAACATATATATAAAATACTAATTAAGATTGCATTGTTCTCTTATTGTCTACTTAGCTTAGAATTAAGATTGGTAAAAATTAATTAAAATCAAATTAAAAAAATTTATGATCTAATTGATAAAAATTTTAGTTTAATAATCAAAATAAAATTGAATCCATAATAGTAATCTTATAATTAGTTTATCCTTTTCTTTAATATGGAAAAATTAAAATGAAATAGTCGTGCCTTGACCCATGATTTCCATGAACACTTGAATTTAAAAATCAAATTCCAAATGAAGTGTACCCTCAAAACAGCAGAGCAGTAAATCTCAATTTCTGTTACCAAATTGAAATTTTGTAAAGTTCAATCTGTTCATATATTTATTTTTAAACTGTAACATTCCAAATCAACATATCTTTCTTTATTCTCTGTCATTCATTTGAGTCAAAATATATGGAGAAAACTCCTTATCGAAAACCAACACATTTGGAGGCACAAAAACAAAAACTTGTTAACATCAAAGGAGATGAGGGTTCATGTTGCAGTCCATTACAAAGGGAATTTGTCAATTTTGACATATCCTCTCATTGATCCACAAAGGAAAACAAAAATTGAAACAGAACACTAACACATACAACTTTTTCTAGACATTAAGATGGTCAGTGGACCCAATTTTAAACTTGATCATCTTGAGGAGCTCTGCCATTTGCTTGCTTGTCTTGGTGGGGCTTCTCAGCTCCATTAATCTCAATGCTTCCATTCCCATTCGACTTCTTCATTTCCGGAGATGACAACCCTTCGTTGTTGCGGTATATGAAATAGAGAATCAGTTGCATTACCCCTAGTCCACACCCAAACCCATTAGGGATCTGAAAAACAACAATGGCAACCAATTTCACATTTGATGCACAAAAATGTTGAGTTTGAGGTCAAAAACTGAACATGTATTCATATATCTTACAGCGACGAATGCGTCGCGGCCGAGTAGACCATAGATGAACCAGGAAGTACCACAGAGGAACACAAACAGTGACAGGAAAAATGGCATGAACTCCACACTTTTAGTCTTGATCACCAGCCTCTGCATTACATTACGAAAGCAATGGGATTATCAAATTAGAGCATATAAGAAAAGGGTTTGTAAATTTGAGTGGTTTGATTGTTTTTTCTTTACCATGATTGAGAGTGGTGAAGCATACATGATGATGGAGAAAATGGTGGCAGCAAGGCCACAGAAGAGCTTCCTGCCGTTTCCGTGGAGGACAAAGAGGGAGATCAATGCCACAGCAGAGAAGACAGTGAGGACAAAAGTGTAAAGCCCAAGGATTTTAGCCTTCTCTTTCTTTGGTGCATAGATGATGTAGATTAAGACATAGATGGACTCAATTGCTGCACCTGTCCCATTGATTGTTGATACCAGGATGTTGTTTTTAGACACAAATGGAAGGCCATACCTATAAGGAATTTGGTCCAAAAACAAATTTAGATTAATATTAAATCAAAAGACTTCGCTATAAAAGAAATGGTAAAGTTCACCATGCAGAGAGGAGACAGTTGAGCAAGGTCATCACATAGGGAACTCCAGAGAATTGCTCTGTGGACTTACTTTTAATGATCCTCTTAAATGTGATCCTTCAGAAATTAAACATGGTTTAACAAATTAATTAGTGTTAAATCAATCTTTTTTGTTCTTTTGAGGAAAATTTTTTCCCAGAACAAAATGGGATTTTACATTAACAAAAGCAAAATGCTTCTCCTTTCTTTGGAAAAAGAAAACAACTTATGGCTGATTTAGCTCAGTTTCCAAAAACCAAAAACTGGCAAAAAAAAAATTAGTCTTTGTTTTCATGTGTTTATTATATAGAGACAGAGAGAAAGAAAACAAGAAAGAGAAAAACTTGTGTTCTTCTTCCATTGATGAAGATGAGTCTGTTTAAAGTTGAAACATTTAAAGTTTTCAGGGGAAGAAAAAGATTGATCTTAGTGTGTTTGTTTCCCGGGAAAATGATAAGTTGCTTTGTTGTACATACGTTGGGGACAAGAAGAGGAACAAAGCAGTGACATTTCCTGCAAAAAACACAGAACATAGAAAAACCATGAATTGAAAAGCTTCAAAGAAATAAAGAAAAGAAAAAAAAAACATGAAACAAAATTAACTAAAGGCTCACCAAAAACACCAAACAAGAAATGCAAAACCTCCATTGTTGGAACAAAAGTTGAACTCTTGGAAAACCAAAGAAGAAAGGGGAAGAAGAAAGAAGATGGTAAGGATAAGAAGGAAAGCAAAGGAGAAGGGGCAAGGCGGTTATATAGAAAGAGAGAAGAATGCGAGAGAAACTGATGAAAACTAACTGGAAAACTGTAAAAAAAAATATGGGTATTTTTTCTTATCCAAATGATTATAATAAGGAGAAAGGTCGATTTCTGCTTGCTTCTTATACTCATGAAACGATGGTAAAACTGATATCACTCTGGAATCTGCATATGGGGGGGGGGGGGGGGTTCTTGACAGTGATGCTGGACGGATTCCGTAAGCGTAAACTTTCAAACTTCTCACATTACCTTATTTACTTCTTTTGGTTTAATCCATTCTATTCTATTATAAATTAGTTTAAATTGCTAAATAAATACATAAAGAAAGTTTGTGGTTCATACACAAACACTATAATTTTAAAAACTAGATTTTTTTAATAGTTTAAATATATTATAAAATAATATCTCTTTAAATCGGTTCATAAACATTAAATTTTATTATATGTGAATTCAATTTCTAAATGAGTTATTTCTTTAGAACTACTTTTTTAAGTGATTTGGGGCACGAATCATCTTACCTCATTGGTTAAAGGAGTTATTGTTATTCCTAGAGTTCACGGGTTCGAGCACCAGCGGTTGCAACAAGATGATTGAGTGTGTTTATTGTTAAATGGTTGAGAATACTTAAAACATATATTACTTTGTAAGCTAATTACCATAGCTTAATAAAAAAATGGTTTGGGGTGATTAAACGATAATATTTGTTCATAATATTAATTAATTTTTGATGATGTACACACACTCACAATGTATTTACTTGAACTTAAGACATTTATATATTCTTTTTAATCTCCCATCAATAAATTATTTTCTAAAAATATTTAAAAAGATAAAACTATCATCGTTATAATACTTATTATTTGAATAAAAATGTATTTTAATAAATTTTAAATATCAACTTAAATAGAGATTTTAATAACATAATAGGATAAAATCACAAAGAATGGTAAAAAATTGAATTAACTGTTTGAATATTAGCACATTTAAGTGTTATTTCAAAATATATACAAATATATTTTATGTATTACTTAAAATTAATTATTTTATAAATATATATTTAAAGACAATATAATATTAAAAATAAAATTTTATTTAAAATTTTAAATAAATTATCATATATTTATCACTTTTACACTTTGCATAAAAAAATCATCATATAATTATATTTTTGTTATCAAATATATATTGAGAAATCAAATTATTAAAAAAAATTAATTTCGAAAATTTTAATCAGATTATCAGTGCTTTAGTACTAGTGTCATGAATCATGATTGAATTAAATGTGATCGTGAATATATACTTCCAAATTTCAGTTTTATGTAATTATACATAATTCCAGAAATTATAATTTGGGGAAATAGTAAATTTATATTAGGCAAAAGGATTAAAAAATAAAAGAAAATTAAATTAGAGGAAAGTTAGGAGAGGATGACTAGAATGTATGTTACGTGAAGAACAACCATAGCCTTTAAGAAATACAAGCCTCTAAAATAGTTGTTTAGAGGAATCAATTAATTCCTTTAATTAAAATTAATTGTTTTAAAGATTCATTGGTTAGAACTCATCAAGTTATTTCAATGATAAAAAATAATGTTATTTTTCCTAGAAGTCTTGGGTTCAAGCAGTTATCTTTGTAATGTGTGTTCTATCAATTGATTTAAAAAATTCCAAATAAATATTACCTTGTAATCATCTCAGACTATTAAAAAATCCATTAATTGATTGAGTGGTTAAAAATATTTATATTATTTTTAATTAAAAATAATTGTTTAGATAATAATAATAATAATAATAATAATAATAATAATAATAATAATAATAATAATATTAATAATACAGTTTTGTAGTTAATGCTCACAAGTTACATTTAATTAACTTGTCAATGAATTTGACGAGATATGATCATTTCATCAAACATATTGAGGATGATTTATTTAGTTAGGCTTCATGGTGAAATCTATAATATTTATAACGATTGATTATGATATTGTCGTAACCGTCTTTCGGTTGGGCCTCGGAATTGGGCTTCGACTTGAAAAATGTGATTGGAGTCGCCACCGATTATTTATTTAAAAAAATAAATAGGTTAATCGGATACCTTATATCTTACCTGATCTGCGTCTTACCAAAGATATGTCGGATTCGGGAGTCGGTTACGGTCAAGGAAGGATTAGCACCCTTGAACCGCCCTTTCGGTACTACGTAATTTCCAGTTGTTTTTAATTAAGAAAATCGAAAGTTAAAATTTAAAGGTAACATATGATCCAAAATTACTTACCTCCGATCAATTTGAAAGAGTACCCTTAAAAAGTCGAGAAACGCGTTAAAGGAAAAAGGAAATAAGAGTAAATGAAATAAAGAAAATAGAAGGAAAAAATAAAAAAAATGATGAAAAACTAAAAGAGGAATAAAAACATAATTATTAAGTGCAAAATAATAATAATGATAATAAGTAGTAAAATAAAAACACAATCACACCAAAAAAGTAAAAAAAGAAAGTCAAGGTTTGGTGAAGTATAACTGTCGGGAAGGAAAAAGACGATAAGGGGTGGGACCGTAGTTAATAAATGAGTGTGATGTATCCCTATAATATAGTACGAATGAATAAATAAAAATATTATGATAATATATATATATAATAAATATTATAACGAAAAAAAAAATAATTTAATAAAGAAAAATAATAATAATGTAATAATATAAATACATGAAAACAAAAAAAAAAATAAAGAAGTATAAAATAAAATATAATTAAATTATATATGCATATGTTTAAAAAAAGTAAAAATAAAAATAAAATACAATAAAAATATACATATAATGATAATAATAGTAGCAAAGAGAAAAATATATTTATATACGTTAATAGTAAAAAATAATAATAAATATAATAGTTATAAATATATATAATAACTTTAAAAAACATTAAAAATATTAGAATAAAATAATTAATATATATATATATAATTAATAATACGATTTATCAAAAAGAAATAAATAAAAATGAAAATAATACATAAGGGACTGTTCATCGGCGGTAAACCTTTCCTTCGTTTAAATATCCTAGTATTTTTCCAAAACGGCCTCGGGGTTGTGTTGATCTAAAAGAAAAAGTTTCGAACGACAACCCTTTTCCTCGGCCAAAACTTTGTTTTTTAGCACAAAGACGAATAACAAACATGCAAGTGAAGAAAAGAATGCGAAAGGTAAAAGCTTTCACCTTTATTGCTCCTGAATTGTTTACAATAGCTTCAAAACAATCTATTTGCTCGTATTTTTTCTGGTAATTTCGTATGCCAATCGTGTGTTACAATAGTGAGCTACAATGGCTATTTATAGTGCTTGTGGATCCTATCTTAGGAGTTTAAAACATAGCAAAATTCTATCCTATTTTAGGAGTTGAATCCTAGCATAATTATATCCTATTTTTGAGAGTTTGAATCCTAGTAGGACGAAAAAGGTGTGTTGACAGCTGCCCCTCTTTGCCCATAGTCGTGTAACGGGGATAGGGCAAAGATTGAAAGACACTTCGTTCGGTGGAGTTGAAAATTGACTATGATGTTTCAATAACTCCCTGTCGAATTAAGTACGGATGACTCCTCCGTCGTGAAGTCGAGTTCATCTGGAAGCTTCTGAGCACTATATCCTTCGTCGTGAAGTTGGAATCGAACTCAAAGCTTTTGGCGAGTGGCCTTTGAATCGTCTTCTGGATCAAGATACTTCGTCGTGAAGGTGAAACTTGACCTGAAGACTTCGGTGTTGATGCGTTACAGATGACTCATTCGTCGTGAAGTTGGGTCAATCTGTTTGTGAAATTGGAATCGTACAGGGCCCCTTCGTCGTGAAGTTGAGCCTGAGAATTGGATATCTTTCGCCATGAAGTTAAAATCCAAATATTGTTCCGAGTCCAATATCCTCCGCTGTGAAGTTGAAATTGGTTCTGGAACTGGGAAATTGTTTGTTGAAAGTCAGCCGCCCCTTCGCTGTGAAGTTGAGCTTGTGCTGTCTCGAGTCTAATATCCTTCGCTGTGAAGATGAAATTGACTCTGAACGAAATCTTGTTGACAATCAGCCGTCCCTTCGTTGTGAAGTTGAACTTGTGTTGTCTCGAGTCCAATATCCTTCGCTGCGAAGTTGAAATTGGCTCTGAAATTTGAAAAATATTTGTTGACAACCAGCCGTCCCTTCGTTGTGAAGTTGAACTTGTGTTGTCTCGAGTGGCACGATATCCTCCGTCGTGGAGTTAAAATCGCGGATGAAACTGAAAAGTTGTTCGTTGACAACCAGCCGTCCTTTCGTTGTGAAGTTAAACTTGTGTTGTCTCGGGTAGCACGATATCCTCCGTCGTGGAGTTAAAATCGGCTCTGGAATTGGGAAATTATTTGTTGACAACCAGCCGTCCCTTCGCTGTGAAGTTGAACTTGTTGTCTCGAGTCCAATATCCTTCGCTGTGAAGTTGAGATTGGCTCCGAAATTGTTGTCGACAGTCAGCCGCCCCTTCGTTGTGAAGTTGAGCTTGTGCTGTCTTGGGTCCAATATCCTTCGCTGTGAAGTTGAAATTGGCCCTGAAACTAGGAAAATTGTTGACAACCAGCGTCCCTTCGTTGTGAAGTTGAACTTGTGTTGTCTTGAGTTCAATATCCTTCGCGTGAAGTCGAAATTGACTCTAGATAAAATTGTTTTGGGGCTCAGGAGAGAAATCTCAATCTCTGGTTGTTTTCTGGAATCTTGGTTCTGGAATCTTCAAGTTCTGATCCATGGTCAAATTCTTCAAATGTTCAAATCTGATGTGCACATTCTATTTTTTGATTTGAGAAATGCTATCCCAAGTATGTGCCTGAGCTGAGTGTAACGGTTCAGATGATGCTTCAAGAGAAATTGTCTCAAAAGAGACAGAACTCGTTTCAAGGGAAACGATCTCAAAGATATTTGTTGTTTCAAGGGAAA